TCTTTCTTTGGGTCTTTATTTCTGAAGGCTCCTGTGTCATGCAAAACTTACATAAATTTGCATGCCTTTCTCTTGTGTGAGAGGAAAATAAATCTCAGGACATTCAAATCACTAAGTCAAAGGGGAAAGTCAAGCTGAGAACTGTGTCAGGCAAACCTGCCTCCCATTCTATTCCTATATATGTAGCTACGAAGACTGAAAAAAAGCTACACACCTCCCTCACAAGGAAATTCCTTGTGGACAAAGGAGAGACAGAACTTAGTCATCCCTCTGCTCACATGAGACAAATGCATATCTGATTGCTGCCCTTGCCGTACTTTTTCACTAAACCAGACTAAGGCATAAGTGATTATTCCTGTAAACTGTTTATTGAGTGAAAGGCCAATGAGAAACTAAAAAGATTGCAACTTTTTGTGTCTTATCTACCTATGACCTGGAAGTCCCCTCCCTCCTTCAAGTGGTCCCGCCTTTCTGTAGCAAACCAATGTACATATATTACATATACAAATTGATGTCTGAGTCTGTGTCATGGGTGCATCATTAATGTTGAAAAATAAACTTTCTAAGTGGACTGAGACCTATCTTAGATATTTTGAGTTCACACTTGTTAATGTGTCTTTTGTTATAGGCATCTCAACCATCAACCTTGTGATAAGTGAGGAAAGAAATATTTTCTCCCCTACATTTGCATGCCCCTCTGAAGGCTGGAAAAAATCTAAAATTATGCTGAATTATCTAGTTTATAATATGTATCTCTTCTAGGCTCTTAATGTTGCCCCCAAAAAACTTATATTTTCATGATTTTTCACTTTCTTACCCTCCTAAAAAAACCAGTTATTTTATGTTTTTCTAATCTAAAGAAACTTGCCAAGGAACCCCAACACCAAGGTTACCCATCTGCTGTGTGTTCTGCCTCCCTTCACATTTTCATGGATGGACTACTGTGTTCCTGCTTTGGTCGAATGTTATGTACCCCCAAAATTCATATGTTTAAATCTAACTCCTAAAGTGATGGTATTAGGAGGTGGAATCTTTTAGAATTGATTAGTTTGTGAGGCCAGAACTCTAAAAAATTAAATTAGTACCCTTTTAAAAGAAACACAAGACAGCTCCCTCAACCCTTCTACCATGTTAAGTTAATAGCAAAAAGATGGCCAACTTTGAAGCCAGAAATGAACCCTCACCAAGCAGCGAAACTGCTGATGCCTTGATCTTGGATATCTCAGCCTCTAGAATTGTAAGAAATAAATTACTGTTGTTGATAAGCCTTCCAATCTATGATATTTTCTTATAACTGCCTGAATGGACTATGATAGTTCCTAACTAATGCAAAGTCCTCAATCCTTGTGCTTCCCCAACTCAAGAAAACTAGTCTAGTGATTCTCCCTTTACTCTCTTCCGTTAGCAAATTTTACCTCTCCACTAGATCACTGTCAACAAAATAAAAACATGCTACACTTCCTTGACTCCATATATTTTTTTTTACCACCTATACCACTGTTACAGGAAAGGGGTCCCCATCCAGACCCCCAAGAGAGGATTCTTGGATCTTATACAAGAAAAAATTAAGGGCAAGTCCACAGTGCAAATCAAAAGCAAGTTTATTAAGAAAGTAAAGTGGTGAAAGGACAGCTACTCCATAGACAGAGCAGGACATTTCCTAAAGTAAGAGGAGGAACATGTCTGCCCTAGTACAATGCTTGTTTATATACACGATAAAAAAGATCATGGGGGGATGTGTTCTGCTACAAGGGTTTGTGATAAAGGATTAATTTTCTTAATTACTATATTTTGCAAGAATCAATATTGTTGTCTTTAAAGCAAAATTAGGAAAACCTTTGTTCTCAACATATCTTGATATTGGAACACTCCTAAGTCTGGGTCTGTTGAGTAAACATTATCAATCTCTTCCTTTAACCATAAACATCAAGAGACTAGGAATGCCTAACTTTCTGGGCATGTGGCCCTAGCAAGTCCCAGGCTCATTTTACTAGCCCTCACTCAAGGTGGAGTCACTCTGGTTCAAATGCCTCTGACACCACCACATATCCCCAATTTGTTACATCTCATTTTATTTCAAATGCCTTCTAATCCAGCTTTTGCTTATACTAATCTTCTAAAATGGTTTTGTTAAGATCATCAATGACTTCCACATTGCTAAATCCAGTAGTCAATTTTCTGTTCTCCTTTTCTTTACCCATTACCAGCAGTTGATACAGTTGATTACTTCCTCTTTGAAATATTTTATCCACTTGGCCTCTGGTTATAAGAGTCACTTGTTTTTCTATTATTTTTTTGGCCACTCCTCCTTGGTCTCCTTCTATAATTGTACCTTTTATCCCAGTTTCTAAAGGTAGGAGTGCCTCAAAAGTCTTAGAGTTTTTCTGTACTCTACATGCAATCCCCTAGTAATTTCATCTAGGATGAATCCAAAATTTATATTCTCAGGTCAGAGCTCTCCAACATACTCTGGATATAACTACTATGTTCTGCTATGACATTTATTTTGGGAATGCAAATTTGTATCAAAGTAATTAATATTATGGCATTTTGTGATTGGTATTAGTTTGAGTATAATGCTATTTTCAGATTTGCTTTTATTTATGCTAATTTTGTTCCACTATGGGAATATGTAGGTAATATGCTCCTATTTCTTAGGAGCAGGGATTTTAATTTTGGTTTACTTATCTAGCTGCTGTTTGCTTTTGTTTTGTTTGTTTGTTTCATAAATATTTGTAAATGAATGAAAAAGTGGATTCAGGAGATGTGAAGTTCATGAGGATTACATGCAAAAATGTTTGTATACATTTAACTTTCTGTAGAGAAGGATAATAATTTTCTTCAGATGTTGAAAAGGTCCTTAATCATCCACACAAACCAGATTAATAATATAATTCTAGCAATAACCCAATAGGTCATTTTTTGAGCATCAGTATTAGCCCATTTTACTTAAAATGTTTATATAGTGGTTATAATGCTGAAAAATTGTGCCCATTTGTAGATTTGTTATGTCAGACAATTGAAATGTGTCAATGTGCTAGCAAGGTTTGAAGGAGGTAAATCTCATACATTGGCCTCAAAACCAAATCATCACAAATATGAACCACAAAAAGATCATATATATGAATTTTGAATAATAAACCCCATTGTTTAAAAAATGGATTTTAGCATGTATAACGACAGTACTGCTAACATTTTTGGTCTCAGAAAAGCAACCTATCATTTATAATTCTATTATATAATGTTAGCATTTCACAGTATACTCTTTGGGGCTTCTTTTCATGCATAATAGCATAATAGCTATTGCTTTTAGATGAACAGGTATTGTGAAGTTGTTAACCTTCTTTTGTTCTCTGAAAGTTTAAAGTTTTATATGGAATACCAACAGAATTTTCTGAAGTATAAAATATAAAAACTAAAGAAACAGCAAAACAGTTTACAGAAAAAATAAAATTAATGTTTAAAAAATATTTGCAGAAATGATATTTATTATTCACAAAACTATTTAGAACTTTATTTATACCTTCTTTGTTCTTATTTTGCAAAATGCCATGTTTGGTTGCCCAGAGTGACTGCTACAGGTAGACACACTGACAACAGTAAGACGAAAGCCTAGTGTAGGTAGGAAAGAATGGAAACTATATAGAGACTAACTTAGATATATAAAAAGGAGAGCAATATGAGGCTATTTGTATGGTAACAAATAGCTGTAAGTGGCTCAAATTGTTCACAAGGTCATGGTTTTACGGTCACTATAATAAAATCATAAGAAGTATTGAGGGGGAAAAAAATGGAGTAATCTCTAATCCAGGCAGTAAGAAACAATCCAGGTAAAGAAAAAAAAGGAGGCGCTGGGGTGAGGTGCCTCACGCCTGTAATCCCAGTACTTCTGGAAGCCGAGGCAGGCAGATTGTCTGAGCTCAGGAATTCGTGACCAGCCCGGGCAACATAGTGAAACCCCGCCTCTACTGAAATACAAATAATAGCCGGGCATGGTGGCCTGTGCCTGTAGTCCCAGCTAGTTGGGAGGCTAAGGCAGGAGAATTACTTGAACCTGGGAGGCAGAGGTTGCAGTTAGCTGAGATCACACCACTGCACTCCAGCCTGGGCAACAGAGAGTGAGGTTCCATATCAAAAGGAAAAAAAAAAAAAGAGAGAGAGAGAAAGATTAAATTTTCAGCTATTGGAAATATTTGGCTTTTTAGAATGATCCATTTTCAAAGGATTACTGCTTCAGCTCTACAGTTAAAATATTGACTTTTTCATTGAGAAGTAGTTGTCCACAAATGACTCATTAAAGATCTGTTTAGGAAGATGTGTGACTCAAAGAGGAGGCGGGTGAAATCTTTAATCACAATACTGACCTTTGTATTTGGTTAATGAAGACAAATTAGGAGCCTAATTGAAAGATTTGTATGTAGATGAAGGGGAAATGAAGGTAATTATTAGGGTGGGGTGAGAATTCTGCTGAGAGAGATATAATCAAACATGAAGGAATTGAAATAGAGATTCAGAAATAATTGCCTGGTTTCTTCTTTATCATCTTCGATCTAAGTTCTGAGCCAATATCTCAGTCAAATGGAATGGGGCCCATACCACACAGAAACCAACTCCAAAAGAGAAACTTCTGGACCAGTCTTGTTTGAACTGATTTACTGTTAGGTACGATGTTAAAAAAAAAATGGATCATTGAACTATATTATTCTATATGAGACCTGTAAATAATAACAGAAACTTAGTTAGAATTATAAATCTCTTTGATAAAATAGATGGGCCATCCTTTAAAACCTGATATTCTCCTTTATGCTTACACATAAGTGCATCTCATTTTTGTTGATTGAAAGCTAAAATTCTTCCAGGCCCTTCCCAGGATCACCCTCTCCAGGAAGGACAGCATTGCCATAGCTAGTAAGAGCACTGATGACTTCATCCATTCCTTGTTGAAAATTAGTTGAACAATGTTTCATTGGTAAAATTACTATAATTCAAAGGAAAATTACCTTTAAGGTTGTTTTGAACTTCTAAAGCTATATCAATTGCATTAAAGGGCAGAACAGGTTCGTTGGCAATTTGCAAAATCACTTCTCCCGAGAGCTGAAAGAAAAAAAGGAAAAAGAAAATACTAGCATTCAGTAATCAGGAGTTTTCATTTGTTTGTTTTTCATTATTTCAGGTATTTTTATACATCTAGAGGAGCAAAAACACACAGGAATAATATAGTTTTGTAAAATCTCTTTTTCTTTTAAACCTTTATTTAATTTTATCTTTCTATAAAGAAAAAGTCCTCAGTTATTTTTCATGTCTCAGAATAGCATAAAGAAATATATCATTCCTTTTGTGAGCTGAAATATTAAGAAATAGGTTCCCTAATTGAAAGAGTTGTAATATTTAGACTTTAAATAATTCCTTACAGTTCATAATATCACATGATCAAACAAACAGTAGAGAGGAGCCCCTGAAAATCAATGCCTGGTTATTGGACTAAGGAAAACTTCAGACAAAATTAATGATCGATCTATTTTATTTGATAACCTACAGGCCACATTTGGCAGTTTACTTTGAAGGTAAACAGGCTTCCAAGTTATCTTGTTTTGTGATTTATGGTAACATCCTGTCACTGAGTAAAGAATTTTTTTCTGAGTTCCCCAAATTACATACTGATGAACGCATAACCTAATGACATTGAAAAGGATGCTGATTTGTTTTTGAATTCTGAAGTTTTGCTGATTTGTTTCAGAATCAGGAAGTTTTTCCAGTTGTCTTGTATGTAGACATTGTAACCTGTATGTTGATATCTGTAGCCAGTGATTGTAACCTCTGTATTATACCCTCCAGTAAAAAGAACAACTCTGATATGAGGAGTCTTCCTCCTTTCTTCTAAACTTCCTTAGGAAAGCCTCCCAACTTGTAACAGACTCTTTGTTGGTGTGTCTTCACAGGTAGATCTTCACATTTGGCTTCCAATAACCCTTCTTCAAAATCTTAGATACGATTTTCCTTCATGTTTTTATTCTATTCCTAATTGCTTTTTAAATTTTTATAACTTTCTATAATTGAAACTAATAGTATTAATATATCTTTGAGATCAATGCTTAAAATAAATACAGATTTTAAAAGGCATCCCCAAAGCTCATATCCGTAATTTTTATACATGCCTAATTCCCCCATGACCCCACCCTAAAACTGTCTGAATATTGACACATGCACTACAGCTGAACTAACATCTGCTTAACAGGCTGAACAAGTCATATGCATTCATACACATCTCAAAGGACCTTAGGGCTGACAGAAAGTGCCATTGTTACCTCTCTCTCTCTCTCTCTCTCTCATAAGTGATATTTAATATTTACCTGGGCTTAACGAATGTCCCTACATCTCTCATAACCCTGAAGGCAGCACACAGGGAAATGTGACCGTGTTGATATTATTAATGCAGTATGAAATGTAGTTAGTGAATGCAAAACATTGTCTTGTGAAACTACACAGGGGAAATTAGCACACTAACTTGAGACACAATGCATAAAAGATATAATTTACAAGGAAATTATTCTGTTACATATCCAAATATATATATTCAACAAGGTGCAAATTCCATTTAAAATTTGATACGGTTTGGCTCTGTGTCCCCACCCAAATTTCATCTTGTAGCTCCCATAATTCCCATGTGTTATAGGAGGGACCTGGTAATAGATGACTGAATCATGGGGGTATATCTTTCCCATGCTGTTCTTGTGATAGTGAATGTGTCTCACAAGATCTGATGGTGTTAAAAATGGGAGTTTCCCTGCTCTCTTTTTTCCTGCTACCATCCTTGGAAGATGTGACTTGCTCCTCCTTGTATTCCGCCATGATGGTGAGCCTTCCCCAGCCACGTGAAACTGTGAGTTTTCCATTAGACCTCTTTCCTTTGTAAATTGCCCGGTCTTTGGTATGTCTTTATCAGCAGCATGAAAACAGACTAATACAATAAATGGGTACCAGGAATGGGGCACTGCTGAAAAGATACCTGAAAATGTGGAAGCAACTTTGGAACTGGGAAACAGGAAGATGTTGGAACAGTTTGGAGGGCTGAGAAAAAGACAGGAAAATGTGGGAAAGTTTGCAACTCCATAGAGATTTGTTGAATGACTTTGACCAAAATGCTGACAATTACAGAGAAAATGAAATCCAGGGTGAGGTGGTTTCAGATAAAGATAAGGAACTTGTTGGGAACTGGAGCAAAGGTGACTCTTGTTATGTTCCAACAAAGAGATTGGTGGCATTTTGCCTCTGTCCTAGAGATGTGTGGAACTTTGAATTTGAGAGAGATGATTTAAGGTATCTGGTAGAAGAAATTTCTAAGCAACAAAGGATTCAAGAGATGACTTGGGTGTTGATAAAGGCATTCAGTTTTAAAAGGGAAACAGACCATAAAAGTATGGAAAATTTGCAGCCTGACAACGCGATAGAAAAGAAAATCCCATTTTCTATGGAGAAATTAAAGGCAGCTAGAGAAATTTGCCCAAGTAAAAAGGAGCCAAATGTTAAATCATCAAGACAATGGGGAAAATACCTACAGGACATGTCAGAGACCTTTGTGCAGCCCCTCCCATCACAAGCCTGGAGGTTTTGGAGGAAAAAATAGTTTTGTGGGTCAGGCCCAGGGTCCCTCTGCTGTGTTCAGTCTGGAGACTTGGTGCTCTGAGTCCCAGCTACTCCATTCTTGACTAAAAGGGGCCAAGGAACAACTCAGGCTGTTGCTTCAGAGGGTGGAAGCCTCAAGTCTTGGCAGCTTCCACATGGTATTGGTCCTGTGGGTACACAGAAGTCAAGAATTGTGGTTTGGAACCTCTGCCTAAATTTCATAAGGTGTATGGAAATGCCTGGATGCCCAAGCAAAAATGTTTGCAGGGGTGAGGCCATCATGGAGAACCTCTACTAGGGCAGTGCAAAAAAGAAATGTGGGGTCACAGCCCCCACAGAGTCCCTACTGGGGCACCACCTAGTGGAGCTGTGAGAAGAGGGCCACCATCCTCAGATTCCAGAATGGTAGATCCACCGGCAGCTTGCACTGTGTACCTGAAAAAGTCACAGATGCTCAACACTAGCTGGTAAAAGCAGCCAGAAGGGGGCCTATACCCTGCAAAGCCACATGGGCGGAGCTTCCCAAGGCCATGGGAACCCACATCTTGCATCAGCATAACCTGGATGTGAGACATGGAGTCAAAGGAGATCATTTTAGAACTTTAACACTTGACTGCCCTGCTGGATTTTGGACTTGCATGGAGCCTGTAGCCCCTGTGTTTTGGTCAATTTCTCCCATTTGTAATGGCTTTATTTACCCAATGCCTGTACCCCCATCGTATCTAAGAAGTAACTAACTTGCTTTTGATTTTACAGGCTCATAGATGGAAGGGACTTGCCTTGTCTCAGATGAGACTTTGGACTGTGGACTTTTGAGTTAATGTTGAAATGAGTTGAGACTTTGGGGAACTGTTGGGAAGGCATGTTTGGTTTTGAAATGTGAAGATATGAGATTTGGGAGGGGCCAGGGGTGCAATGATACGGGTTGGCTCTGTGTTCCCACCCAAATCTCGTCTTGTAGCTCATACTTCCCACATGTTGTGGGAAGGACCCAGTAGGAGATGACTGAATCTTGGGGGCGGGTCTTTCCCATGCTGTTCTTGTGATAGGGAATGGGTCTAATGAGATCTGATGATGTTAAAAACAAGAGTTTTCATATACAAACTCTCTCTTTTCCTACTGCCATCCACGTAAGATGTAACTTGCTCCACCTCACCTTCTGACATGATTATGAGGCTTCCCTAGCCTCATGGAACTGTGAGTTCTCCATTAAATCTCTTTCCTTTGTAAATTGCCCAGTCATCAGTATGCGTTTTTTTTTTGTTTTTGTTTGTTTGTTTGTTTGTTTGTTTTGAGATGGAGTCTTGCTCAGTCACCAGGCGGGGGTGCAGTGGTGCAATCTGGGCTCACTGCAAGCTCCACCTCCTGGATTCACACCATTCTCCTGCCTCAACCTCCCAAGTAGCTAGTACTACAGGTGCCTACCACCATGCCTGGCTAATATTTTTGTACTTTTTTTTAGTAGATACGGGGTTTCACCGTGTTAGCCAGGATGGTCTCGATCTCCTGACCTTGTGATCCACCTGCCTTGGCCTCCCAAAGTGTTGGGATTACAGGCGTGAGCCACCGCGCCCAGCCCGCTATGCTTTTATCAGCAGTGTGAAAATGAACTAATACAATATTAAAAGTTATATTTCCCAATTGTTTGCACAATTCAAGTCATAAAAATACAACTCAATTTGATCTTCTTCTATATGCTTGGGAAAATGTATTTATTAGAAATAAAGAGAAGAAAGAACCCCTTTTTAATTTTTATTTTAAGTTCTGGGGTACATGTGCAGGATATGAAGGTTTGTTACACAGGTAAATGTGCACGATGGTGGTTTGCTGCACTTATCAACCCATCACCTAGGTATTAAGCCCCACGTGCATTAGCTATTTTTCCTAATGCTCTCCCTCCTGCCACCCTACCCACCTACCAGACCCCAGTGTGTGTTATTCCCCTCCTGCATCCATGTGTTCTCACTGAAGAACCACTTTTGATAATCTTTTATTCCTTTGTTTTCTCCCAAATGTAGCAACCAATTTCTAACATACCTTTGCAGAGACTTATCCTCAATATTGGGGTGCTGAAAAAGTATTCTACCACGTGAGACTTTGACATACTGAGCTAAAGAAAGAGCCTCAAAGTCTCTCTGCCCTCGCTTGCCCCGTACCCTCCCAACACTTCTGTCTTTCTCAAAGCAAAAGATGAGTATGTTCTCTGAAGTTCTCTCATCCATCTAAAAACTGTGAACCTCCAAAGAGGAACACAATTACCTTTCATCCTCTCTTGGAAATCTCATTGTCAATGAGGGATGCAACCACACCTGGATGGACTTTTTCAAACAGATAGTGTTGCCTCTAAGGATGATTCAAATACTAAAGAGAATCATTTACAAATTAATTTTGCCTCCCAGGTCCATTTATTATCCCTAATAATAATTTACCATTCATGAGAAGAATGGTCTAAATTCCCAATCTCTCTCTCTGC